TGTTTTTAATGGAGAATTAGAAATCAGATGATAGATATAAGTCTATCATCGGATTCTAGTGGATGTAATTTCAACCCACAAACAATTCTAAAACGGAGCAACAAGCGGCAGAAGCGAGGACTTACTTTTTTTACCGTCTCCACCGGTGGCTCCTCCAGGTGCTGAGCAGAGAGACTGAGGGTGCCACGAGGGCTCCACCCAGCCTGCCCAGCCATTCCTTTCCCCCTCCGTAGCTACAGGCTGGTCGGGGGACAAGCCAGGGATCAATAGCTGGAGTTTGCCCACAGCAGTGCCATTCCTCAGCCGGGACACTGATGCTAACTATCAATAGCAATAAGGGCCTGTCTGAGACACAGCTAACTGCCGGTCGGCCAACACAGCTGTCTGGCGGCAGCTGATAAACATCTTGTGCCCAGAGTTTCAGCGAATAAACCACTTGATATGTTTCAACTTTGTGGGTGCACTTACTGTAAGAATGCCTTTTATTTTTTTTCTTTTATACATGGCGTGTCTGCTGGCTTGGTGGTTACCTGCACGCTTTGTTGTGTGGTTCCACGACTCGCCCCGCTTGCTTTGTGGCTGTGACGCAAACATGGCATGTGTATATCCCGTACGTTCTGTGTTTACGAGCGTGTGAAGTAATGTAGGGATAATTCCATGTGTAATTTTTAGTTTTGCTTCCAGGTTCTTAAAAATACATAAACACTCAGCTTTCTGGGGGTGATGTCTGTAATTTCTTCAAGATGTTTGGAGTGCACATTTCCTCTCGAACATCCAGTCTCAGCAGTGTGTGTCAGTTTAGTCCGGCTCCATCCTGTGAACCGTCTAACCATCTAAGCATCTCTCTTCATCCAAATATCATTTGTCAATGTCATATGAAAGCAGAAGGCGTTTTTCAAGAATACGAAGGAGCTAAAACGGGACACTTGGTGGTCGTCCAGTACCATGGTGTTTCTCGTTAATGCAAGTGAAGCGAGAATGTTTAATCAGATACAATCAAGTGAATTTGTATCACAACAATTGAAGGATTTAATGATTGGATCTCTGTAACCTAGAGTGTCTATCCAGAAAAAAAGTCAAGTGCACAATAATTAGAAACAGGCATTAACTTAAGGAGCCCGAAGAGTAAAACCATAGGTATATTTCCCAGCAACTGAATGCAAGTTACAGATGTGCATAGATGTGTTTCTAACCAATACATTTTAAAAAGTTGGAAATATGAACCATTTTTTACAGTGATCTTTTGGCACATTAAGAATTTGCTTCTGTTACACCCAATGAAAAATATTTCTCAGTTAAATGTATGTTGGAATATTTGCACACGTGTCTTTTTTGTCTATTTTTTTTACTTTCATAAAAGAAGACTTCTTGGTTATTGTTTTCGTAGAGTGGTGCAGGATGTGGATTCAGATTTCGGCCTGAGTGCTTTCTGCATGTTGTATCTGGTTTCCAGTTACACCAGTCAGGTGGACACTGCTGGCTTCTGTCACTAATAACTGGGAGGTCGGGGCTCTTTGTCAGGGATCCTTCAGCACACGTCTCTTTACACTTATACACTTGTACCTGAGTAGTCACCGCTGACACACACACACATTGACACAGTCAGTCAGGGTAGGCAGTCACAGGTGACTGTACCCATACACACACACACACACACACACACTATGTTGGACATGCAGCGTGCCTGTGATGTGCCAGCGACCTCCTGCACCTCGGCGACACCCTTGAATGTTTGCTTGTTTTCCCTGAAGCAGGACAGCACTGAAAAAGGAGGGAGGGGTCGAAGGGGATGGCAGAGGGATGGGGGGGGGGTGTCTGTAACTGCAGCTGAGATCATGTAAAAACAAACACGGCCCATTGATATCGGGTGATGCTCCAGGAAGTTGTCAGGGGGCACAATGGGGGGAGACAGTCTGTGGGATGAGTGGTGGCAGGGCTGCTGGAGGACAATAGAAGGGGTTTGATCTCTTAATTAATGGAGACCATCCTCTGGTACTGAATTTTAATGCAGGTGATTTTTCAGCTGCGTTTCTTTAGCGACAAAGGGGGGGAAAAAGCTCTAGATGCTGCCGTGATTGCCTGGAAGACAAAGTGTTTTCCCCTGACTCCACACTCGCTTGTACTGGTAGTTTTAGTTGTGTTGTAGGAACTTTCTTATTAGACTGTTTTAAAAAATAAATACAAGAACTTGATCCAAATATACTTTTTGAATCCTTTTCAAATTTCCCTATATTATTTTCCGTCCAGGTTGATGCCGTAGGACACCTACAACAAAGCTATGCGGAGCTTTTAATAGGGCACACAGTGACAGCGTGTGTGACTCGATGGAGAGAAAATGTGAGCTTATTTCTTTATTTCTTTGAGCATGCGGCCAGCTTACAACAATCCCTTTAATCAAGCTCCTAATCCTTTTGAAAGACGTCAGCATGCCATTAATAAGGCCATGCACTACTTGATATCAGAATTAGGAATGATTGAAGTCAAAGAAATAAAAATTAAGACAGTATCTTCCTAAAGTCAGGCATATAGAAATAGATTTCATTAGAATATAAATAAGAAATCAATTAAAATATTCCATTGTTTTTTAAGAAAAGATAGTGTCTTTTTTTCTAAATGATTTCCCCTCCAACTCCTGGTGTAAAATCAAACCTGTCAGTTAACCGGAGTTTGCCAAAATGACGCACGTTCTGGAGCCACGTAACTCTGCATCCCTGCAAACCTTCCACCAGCAGGTTTCCCCTCTCCTCTCCTCGCCTCTGGCCTCCCCAGCTCCTCTTATCACTGACACTCGCGCACGAGCACTCGCGGCTGACCCAGATGAAGGCCCGATGCAGCTCGTTGTAATTCTTTCGGCGTCGCGGGGAGCAGCACCGTGAATAGAAAACCCACCACGTGTTGAACGCGGGTGTCAGACTCGCGGGGAGAGGGAGCAACAGAGAGAAAAAAAGAGGGTCTTTCTGGTTAGAAATACACCGCGTGAGGATAACTAACGGCTCTGGTTTGGGAGATTCCCGAATGCTTTAACTACCACATTATGCGCTCAGACGCGCGCTGTTTCGGAGCTGTATGATCAATCGTGACATGTCAGCGATAATAGTGAATGATGGCTCCCGGGCCAGACCTTCTGTGATATGATGCGCACGGTATCGATTGCGCGTAACAGACCTGTGCGCGGCCTTTGTGCGTCAAAGCCTTCAGTCACAAAATACTCTTTATTTCTGTTTGACATGCGGCAACTGGTTGGATGACACCTATATTCAGGCCATTTCTTCTGAACCCAGCAGCGAGAAAAACAAAGTTTTGTTTTGACATTTTAAAATTTGATGTTTATTTCTAAATGCATCATTTAAATATAAATTGTTGTCGGAAATAATGTGTTTTGTTCGGATTTTCCCCTTTACAAGGCACAAAGCTTTTACGATAACTCTTGTGTTGCCTGTTGTTGAGAATATTTTATTTTATTAATAATTTCAAAAATCAAACTAAAAGAAAGCAGCCAGACACGTAGCCTATGTAGGAAAAATAATGTTAAGAGTCGAACTTATATTTTTTTTATTGTTTTATTTATTTATTTTTATTCAGGCGTGGCGTTAAACTTGTGTCCACTGGGACCCCAAACTCTGCCCCGCGGCGTCATTCAGCCCCATGACTGTATCCTCACCGTCCCGAGTGAATCCCATTTAAAATGTCTGCCGCTCGTCTGGGCTGCAAATCACCCTGTTTACAATCTCACACCAACACTCACATCAATTAACTGCCCATTGATTTTCCCGCCCGGGACATTACAATATTGCAGAACCCCCCTTTTTTTTTTCTTTTTTTTTTTCTTTTTCCTCAACCAGCAATTTCAAGTTTGGGGCTCATAACTGCACTTAGGTTTTTAACAGCACGTACGCTCGTGCACGCAAACACGCATTTCCCCCTTTTAATGATCATTAGCTGAATGGTTATGTTTGTCACTGCTTAATGTTCTTTTTTTTTATTTATCTAATTTTAAACATGCATCCACACACAGAATATGCACGCATATGACTCCGCGTGCACCCACAAATGAAAACTTCCGGTATTGTTAATTATTCGACATCACACGCTGATAAAGAAGATCACTCGGGGCCATCAGAGGTATTTGATTTTCCTTTTGCTCTCTCTTTTTTCATGAATAAGTAAATAGCGGGGCTAGTCGAAACTAAAAGATAGCTGACACAAGAGTGGACCAGATCCATCTCGCCTGCAGCTGCTCTTTAAATATTCAGTGAAAAATAATGGCATCCGAGCCATCACCTATAGTAACATTATTATCTTCATTTCTCAAAATCAGCCCGACTGAGAGCTTCGTTTATCTTTTTCAGGTAATAAATCTACTCGACTCAGCGCTTACATGAAGCTCCCATGGGACCTCTTGCCCCCTTAAAACATCCCAACAGAAGGCGCTCTTATTCAATAGATAAAAATAATAATAAAAAATCATTATATTAATTACTATTATTATTATATTAAGTGGACACTTATAACTTATGTGAAATAAAAGATTCGGAAGAATTACAATCTACCAACAGGCCTAAAGAAAACAACACTTTGACATATTTTAGTCCACGAACATTTCGCCGGGTGTTTACTGTGTGAAAACAAGTTTTGTAACGATTAAATAAGTTGTGTGGATGGAGATGAATGCGCGAGCCTTTTGGGTGCGAGTCAAGCGTTTCCTTCCAAACAAATGTTTTCGTAAGAAATTAAAAGCTTAATTTAACCCCCATTCAGATGAACTGACTTCAGTCTCCCCCACCGATCATCCGCGCGCACGCTGAACGTTTGGCTCTGCCGTGTGCAGCCAGACTGAGAGAAAGAGAGAGAGGGATGGAAGGAGGAGGGGATACGGAGAGAGGAGGTGGAGGTGAATGGTAGCGTGACTGAATATCCCGGTGACCAATCAAATCGTCGATGGGCCGGGCGGGTTTGTCCCACTGCCGCACGGGCCCTCAAAGTTTGTTTATTCGCGGAACGCAGTGTGTGATGAAAACGTGTGAGTAAGTGACTCCCTTTCTGCTAATCATAATCAAACGAAACTGATTGGGACGTCGAATCTCTGCGTGGACTTTTCAAAAACGATCTCTTATTTATTTTTTCTTTTCTCTTTTTCTTGGGTCCGGGAACGCCTTCTGCCGGCACCCTTTACGCACGGAACATGCTGGCGTTTTAGCGCACCGGCCGCATCGCTCCAAACTCTTCGGAGAGTTGCCGTTCAGCACAACAAGAGCTGAATTACAACCAGCTTCATGCGAGAGCCCCGGGTGGACAGCCGAGTTGCAGAGAGAAGAAAGTTGGCCGGAGATCGCGGAGATTTGAGTTGCCCTCCGCATCTGCAGGAGAGGGAAAAGGCAAAGAAACAAACTCTGATCGATGCTTGATCAATGAAAGATTGAAAGATACTGTCACAGGAATGGACTCGAGACGCTGGCATTCCCCAGTAGTGGTCAAGATAAGCTACGGCTTGGCCAACAGAAAAGGGTTAACCCGTATCTAAAGGGAGTTTGGAAAAGCCAGCCTTTCTTCCCCGTACGGATCAACTCATTGGGTGGGAGCTGAGAGAAAGACAAGAGTCTCCAGCAAATCAGGAGCTAATTGATTAAAGAGACTTCATTTGAATAGGAGGGGGGCTGGCGAGGTGCCAATCGCCTTTCAAAGAAGCCCCCCCCCTCCCCCTCCCTCTCCGTATGATTAATCGCAGAGCATTATTGATAATCATAACGGGGCACATGCGCGGTGGATGGGCTCGATTTACGTAATTTTTGAGGAGGTTTTGTAGTCATTTTTTTATTCTTTGCCTGCTGATGTGCCAGCCAGCATGTCGCGGAGGAAACAAGCGAAGCCGCAACACTTCCAATCCGACCCTCATCTGCCTTTATCGGAGCACAATGGTGAGTCCCGAGTAAACTATGGCTCCTTTTATCCACGCACCGTCAATTTCTCACACTTTTTAGGTGTGTTTTATGGCAACCGCGGGCAGACGCAGGCGTTTGAGGGATCGCACAGAAGCAGGCTTTCTTCCACTCAACTTTTGTTGGTTTCTCTTCAAAATCCAGAAGTTGATCACATTTTTTATTACTTTTAACATAACTTGGCGATTGGCGTTTCTTTGCACTCACTCGTATCCACAGCAGTGAAAATGGTGTTTTATCACTTTTATATCATATTCTGTCAGCTTTCGGTATCGCACAACTTATTTCTAGTTCTCAACTTATCTTAATTTCTATCACTTCCTTCTGTACTTTTGCGCACGGTATGAGTAGAAAGTTTCTAAACTTATTTAGTTTTTTTATTTCAAATGTAATTGCTCTGGGGGTTTTTTAAAGTAAGGTAGAAAGGCAGGGTTGGCGTAGTTTCAGTGGTCTGGCTGCGTTCAGCGGTGCGCCGACATGGACCACCCTGTCACTCCGGCAGCCTCCGCTGCGTCCCGGACACAAATCCCCCTTCTTCCGCCTCTTCCAGTCTGCGTTGCAAACTCGGAAGTTACTCCGTTGTTTGCTTCTATATGAAAATCATCATCAGAATGCCATTGCTATGTTTTATTTGATAATTTAGCGTTTGATGAAAAGAAGATCAAACTGCCCCAAATAGCAAAAAAAAAAGGAACAAGCGTGCCTTTTTTCAATTCAAATTCTCAGACGACTTGAACAGTTGACTCATCCTTTAGTCTCTTTTAACAGACCAGAGCGCATAGAAGTTAACCCTCGATACGGGACAAGCACCCACAAATTACATAACTCCTTTTTTGTTTTATTACAACAACATAAACGACCGTAATCTACCGAAATAACCGTCTACCGAAATCCTACCTTTTTTCCCCCTTGACCTCTTTCATACGAAACAATTACGAATTTCCAGTCAGCCTTGTTTGGAATATAATGCGGTTATTTGAATTTATTTCAGAAATGACCTGCTTTAAACGTGGCCTTGCAGCTAAAATGCGAGATGAGTTCGCAGAAAGTGAGATTTTAAAAGGACAGCACCAGTTTTTAATCTAGAGATTTCACAGTTTTCAGCGAAAGCCAATCAGATTGAAATTTAATTAAATATTTTACTTTATTTCATTAGTTTTTGTTTAGTTGAGGGGAGGATAGTCGAGGAAATTTGAAGATACATACGAATTTAGAAATGTAAAAATAACTCCTGAATATGGAAACTTGACGTTTAGTTGGAGATTGTATTTTTGTATATTATTCGTATATTATTACGTAACATTAAAAAAATAAATAGCGCAAGTTGCTGAGAAGAATGATCTAATTTTCCAAATTTTTATTTTTGGATTTTGTTTTAAAAAACGTTTAGATGTGCCTTGAATGAAAAAAAAGCACAGAGCAAATAAAATAGATTTTTGTCGTTGTGTCCACCTCTTAAGTGAGGCCTGTAAATGTAATGTGTGGTGCAAATATATTTTCAAGAGATCCCTGAGAAAAACATGTGCAGCTCATTTTAAATAAGCTCTGAAAGTCATCCACAGAAGTGTATTTTCAGCCCAGTTCATGTGATTTTTAGGAACTCGGTGGTTAATGCAAAAACCTGGTTAATTCCTGGCTGTTGTTGTTTTTTCTGCATTTTCCATCAAATCTAATAAAGTAAGCGTAATAAAGAGTCACTTGCAGACTCGAGAATGTCGAATTTCCAAATTATGTCCAATAGTGTTCCAGATGTTAAATTACCTGGAAGTGTCTTGTGTGTGCAATTACGGGAGCAGGGGGGACGGCGTCTAATCTCAAAGTTTGGGGGCATTTCGCTGAGGCAGTGTTTCTTTATGAACGGCGTGTCTTGTGGCGAGTTGTGGGAGCCGGAAGAGTAACAGAAAGTCATTGTGCTGGGAGCGGAGCTGGCTGATGCTGAGGGCTGTAGCTGCTGGGAGGTCGGAGTGAGTGCCGCAGAGGGTGGGATGTTGAGCTGTTTTAACCTTTGCCTGTGCCCCTCTGTGTGGAGGTGATTAGGGTTCAGGGCCCGGTGTGTTCCTCGCCGCCACGCCATTGACCCTGCAGACCGGAGCTGCAGGCGGCCCAGCGAGGCCCTGGCCTTTTATTTTAAGCGTGTGTGTGTTCACGAGGCCTTATCAATGTTGTGGCCGTCCCCTCCTGCCCTATCAGAACGCCCCCCCCCTAGGAGGGAGATTGGCAGGGCAGCCCCCTCAGCACCGTGGTTCCCTGCAAACGCAGTTGCTCATCAAGTTGCTGGTGTTTGTGTGGCGTGGCTCTAGGTGTGTAGCATGAAGGACTCGCTTTGTCTTTTTCCCTCCCCTTAAGCTTTAAGCATGTCACCGAGGCAGGGCTTCTGAGACTTGAGTCTTGTCCTGGACCTCGACAGCTTTAGTGGAACCCCATCTAGTGTTCAGTGGGATGGAAACGGTGTGAGCAGAAACCCTCCAGAAGTTACAAGAGAGTCAAGAGGCCCCCCAGGAAAAAAACAAAATGTAGGATTCTCTCTCTCAAAGCGCTCCGTAAACTTTTTGGACTAATCTTAACTTTCTGGTCTCTCGCATTCAGACTTTGCTCGATCTCTTCAAGGTTCTGTCCTCCTGCTCTTTGTCTTTCCTGACACCCTTTAGCCCTTCACACTGCTTACACTGCGCTCTTGATAGTGATTGTAAACGAGCTCTACACACTCCTTCCTCATACCAGCTTGACTTTATCCTAAATTTAATTCAAAGTTAATCCTTACTATTTTGGGAATTAAGCCTAATGCTAGCATCTGCGCTGTTGACTATACTTGTCTTATGTGGATGCTGGATTAGTAGTGATGCATTGATTCAGTTTTCATCCTTTTTTCGGTCGTTATGAAAAGGAAGGCCAAATTAAAAGAGAAAATCTGTCACCACGTTGATGTGAGACATTAAGTGATTCTCATGTTTTACATGTGCAAGGTCGTTTTGCCGATAAATTTGAGACAGTCGTTCCAGTCGAGACTGTCTATCGTTCCTCAACTTTGTTGAAAATACTTCCCTCCAGTTATTTAATTACAAAAGGGGAAGTGTGCTGTTTAACTCTGAATTTTGAACTTATTTAATATTTCTGTCATAGTTTGTTTTAATTAGAAATAGACATTTGCATGACAGACAGTTTATTATTTGGAATGTTTGTGGGATTTTAAAAAAAGCTGTGCTACACATTAATTATTTTTTAGTTGTTTTAAAATGATTTTTCTATTGCATACGGCACTCATATGTGAATGTAAAGGTTATTTATTTAATATAGAGGATATGCTTTTTTGGCGGGGTCTTTGCGGTTTTCTATCTGCACACATATTTTCAAATTTCCATATTTTATCTGATTCCTCTGTGGTTATCACAAGCAAGTGACACCAAGGTTTTTTTCTATTTATTCCCCTGTGTGATGAATGAGATTTTCCTCACGTTAAGCACTGTAGTGAAAGCCTTGAGGAGAGAGAAATGGTGTTTATTTAATTTTCAGATTTTTCACGATATGTTCCAAACAGGTACTTTTTCTTTTTCTCCAAATTTAACGCTTGGGTTGTGGGTGGGTGGGTGGGTGGGTGCAACAGGGGGGCGGTTTAACATGAAAAGTTATCATTAAAGTTGAGTCTTCCCTGTTTGCATGGTTTGGTGGTGTGAGGGCCAGGGTTTACTGTCATGGCAACTTTGCGTTATCTGATGTCTCTGAACGGAGAAACATTGAGGGAGATAATCCCTGAATTAAACAGGATCTGCTTTGAGTCGACTGAGATGAGCAGGGCCAGGCTGTGCCGACGATCCCCGCCGCTCCCATGCTGCGTGAACAATGGGAAGGCATCCTGTCTCTCTGTGGGGCAGGGCTGCACTTCTCTGGGTTTCATTTGCAAATGAATTCTTGGCCCTGATGAAAGTGTCGAGGGGGCCGGAGCCACAATGAAAGGGATTCATAGAGAAATGCAATTTGTAAATCAACTTGTATGTTAAATAGCGAGATTTTAGTGTGACAAAGAGGGAAATGAATAAGGAAAGTCTGGAGCACAGCAGTGGCTCTGGGGGCAGGGTGTCGTCTCGCCTTTTCACTCCCTGACTTGTTCCATTTATTAAAATGGAAAAATTTGAAAACCTGTTTGTATGTGCATGCAAAGGGTGCTGTTGTCTTTGAATTTTTTTATCTCCGCGACCACAGGAGTTTTTGTTTCTGTATTTCTTGTTCTTTGAGCTGACGTGGCCACTTTGTTAGTTTTGGCAAGTTTGCGCCGAATGCATTCAACTCTCAAGTCAGTTTTCTTTTTAAAAAGAGTTGGTTACTTTTTTCCTCACTGCTTTTCTCTTCACACTTATGAAGCAAAAATGAGATAACCGTAACATTTAACCACAACAAACATTTTCCTGGCAAGGGTTTTATATCAGTCAATGTTTACACCAAAAGTGTTTAACTTTATGAAATGAATTTAAAAAAATTTAGCAAGTTTATTTTCACTTTGTTTTGTGAGTGCGTTGCTGTTACGGGGCCACATACCCTGTTCTTGTTTCACTGTGATTGCAGGCTGAGTGGATACAAATTAGTTTAGTAACATAGATAACCTGTCCAAGATGCCCATAGCTGCCTGAAAATGAGCGAAGTTGACAGCAAATTGAAAGTCTAATAAGTCCTTCAAATGCTTGATTTGCGCCAAATGGACAAGTAGACTTTGAAGGGCATAGACTATAGGAAATCAATGTCTTTCTATGAAATTTCATTAAGAGCCAATGTCCTCACTTCACTCTATTCTATATTTTGATGGATTATCTGGAGAAAATTATTACCTTTCGTTTAGCTGATGAAACCCAGATGTACATCCTCAAAGATCACTTTTAAGCAATATTTGAGTATCTCCCATTGATTTTGTATCCCTTCTTATCACTTGTCACTACAATGAATAAGGCTTCTTTCTCATTTCTGTTGGATTATTGTTGTCTTTGGATCCTTGTTTTTGTGAGCACATCAAAAGGATAAGTGTAAAACTGATTAACTTAAGATTAACAACAGTGGAATTTCAGGAGATAAAGCTGCTTCTTCAGCTGCAAAACATTTCTAATCACTAATCTTCTGTTTCCTCTTTTCCAGGGGACACAGAACTTTGCTCAGAGGACGCCCCCAGCAAGGAGTCAGACGCCCATGTCTGTAGCAGATGTTGCGCTGAGTTCTTTGAACTTTCAGATCTTGAGGAACACCAGAAAAATTGCACTAAGAATCAGTTAGTTCTGATCGTGAATGAAAACCCTGTCTCCCCCGCCAGAACTTTCTCGCCGGGGTCTCCTCCTCATAATCCTGATGACCAGATGAATGAAACAGCTAATAACACTGATCAAACAGAGTGCAGTGACCTTTTGGAGCCGAACACGCTCGAAAAAGACGAATCCATGGACGTGGATGTGTCCGGAATGAGCAGTGGTCATGAGGAAGAAAGCAGTCGAACAGAGAGCAGGAGCCCCATCAATACAGTAAACTCGCATGCAGGCAGAGGCACCACGGGCCCTGCAGTAGGTACTTCAGCTATCTCTGCCACACTACCTCAGCTCAGTAATCTAACTGAACTGGGGAACTTCTCCATGATCAACAGTAATGTCATAATTGAAAATCTGCAGAGCACCAAAGTGGCAGTAGCTCAATTTTCCCAGGAATCCCGATCCACTGGGGGCCCCAGGGTGGCTGTGCCAGCCCTAATGGAGCAGCTTTTAGCCCTCCAACAGCAGCAGATCCACCAACTGCAGCTCATTGAGCAAATTCGCCACCAGATACTGCTACTAGCCTCCCAGTCCCCAGAAATGCAGGTACCCCCTACCACTGCTCCTGGCACAATGGGGCCGGCTGCCAGCCCACTGACCACACTCAGCTCACATCTCTCCCAGCAGCTGGCTGCAGCAGCAGGCCTAGCGCAGAACCTGGCAAGTCAGTCAGCTAGTATTAGCAGCCTAAAACAGCTGGCTGCAGCGGCACAGCTACCTCAGTCCAACACAAGCAGCAGTGAGACATCTCAGAGCATTACTACACTGGGACCCTCAACAGTCAATCCCCAGCCCTCCGACAAAAGGCCTGGTGTCATGAGTACCCTTCACTCTCAGCTGAGCAACTCCTCCCTAGCTAAGTCATCAACGCCAGCGTTTGGAATAGGTAGCTTATTAAGCTCTGCAGTGAATCCCCTTCTACCTCAGCCCTCACCTGGTAATCCAATGTTCTCTAGCTCCCTGCCCAGTGTTGGCACAACTGTGGAGGACCTCAACTCTTTAGCGGCTCTGGCACAGAGGAAAGGAAAGCCACCAAATGTCACATCCTTTGAGCACAAAAGCAGCTCTGATGATGCTTTCTTCAAACATAAGTGCAGATTTTGTGGCAAGGTGTTTGGGAGCGACAGTGCCTTGCAAATCCATCTGCGCTCTCATACTGGCGAGAGACCCTACAAGTGTAATGTCTGCGGCAACCGCTTCTCCACTCGTGGTAACCTGAAGGTGCACTTTCAGCGTCACAAAGAAAAATACCCACACATTCAGATGAACCCTTACCCTGTTCCTGAGCATCTAGACAACATACCAACCAGCACTGGGATTCCGTATGGCATGTCTATGCCCCCTGAAAAACCTGTCACCAGCTGGCTGGACAGCAAACCAGTTTTGCCCACTCTGACATCCTCTGTTGGCATGTTGCTGCCACCAACCATGCCGAGCTTGCCCCATTTCATCAAAAAGGAAGATCATTCAATAGCCATAACTAGCCCTTCTGTTACTGCAAAGAACGAATCAGGTGCCGCCGAGCCTTCAGCTAAGATTAATGATGGAGTGTCTGAAGAGGGTGATGGAGCAACTTTGCCTACCTCAAATGGAAAAACTGAAGAAGGCTGCCAGACCTCAGGCTTAATGACAAATGTATGCTCGGCCTCAGACACCATTGCAGAGTACACAACATCTAACAGTCCACCCATGATGACCAACCCGCTCATGCCCCTCCTGACTGATCAGTTCAAGGCTAAGTTCCCCTTTGGAGGCATCCTGGATCCTCTTCAGGGGTCGGAGACCTCCAAACTGCAGCAGCTTGTGGAAAACATCGACAGGAAGGTGACAGACCCAAATGAATGTGTTATCTGCCACCGAGTGCTGAGCTGCCAAAGTGCTCTGAAAATGCACTATCGTACTCATACAGGGGAGAGGCCCTTCAAGTGTAAAATATGCGGCAGGGCGTTTACCACCAAGGGAAATCTAAAGACCCATTACAGCGTTCATAGAGCCATGCCTCCTCTTAGGGTTCAACATTCCTGTCCTATTTGCCAGAAGAAGTTCACAAATGCTGTGGTTCTTCAGCAACACATTCGCATGCATATGGGTGGGCAGATCCCAAACACCCCTCTGCCAGAGAGTTATCCTGAGTCCATGGAGTCTGACACTGGCTCATTTGAGGAGAGAAACTTTGATGATCTGGACAACTTTTCTGATGACAACATGGAGGGGATGGAAGAAGGCCCAGATAGCAGCGTGCCCGACACACCTAGATCGGCTGATGCTTCCCATGACAGTCTATGTAATTCTCCAGTTCCCCTTGAAATGGCTGGTCAGGAGGGCCAGGAGAAGAATGGGCAAGAAAATGCTCATCATAATGAAATGGAGGAACTCTCACACAACCAGATGAAGGTTAGCGCAAACGGCTTGGTTGAGGGGGATTGCCTCACCAACGACTCCTCTTCTTTCGGAGGGGATGTTGAAAGCCAAAGCGCCGGGAGTCCAGCTGTGTCAGAATCTACCTCCTCCATGCAGGCGCTGTCCCCTACTAGCATGCTGACACACCCACATAAATCCCCCAGCCTCGAGGAAAGGCACCAGAGGGCCTTTTCGTTGGAGCACACCAATGCAAGCTTCTTGCACTCTCACCCTTCGAACATCGGAGCCCTGGATCTGACATCTGTGAATCCCTCAAAAGACTCCCTAGGCATGATATTCCCCTTCCGTGAGCGTAGCACCATCAAGAACACATCCTGTGACATCTGTGGGAAGACATTTGCATGTCAGAGTGCCTTGGACATTCATTACCGAAGCCATACCAAAGAACGACCATTTATTTGCACGGCTTGTAACAGAGGTTTCTCCACCAAGGGCAACCTAAAGCAGCACATGCTAACTCATCAAATGAGAGACCTGCCCTCACAGCTCTTTGAGCCGTCAAATACCAGCCTGTCATCCAGTCCAACCCCTTCCCTCCTCTCCGTTGGCTCTCTCAACAAACCGGAGGTCAATGGCTTCCTCCATAGCTTCCACTCAGAGAAGAAGGACGTCCCACCGGGCCTGGTCACATCATCTGCCTCCACATCCCCAGTGCTCTCTGCTGCTCCACCACGCCGAACTCCCAAACAACACTTCTGCAACACCTGTGGGAAGTGTTTCTCTTCCTCCAGTGCTCTACAGATCCATGAGAGAACCCACACAGGGGAGAAGCCTTTTGCCTGCACCATCTGTGGTCGAGCCTTCACCACCAAAGGAAACCTCAAGGTAAATTTTGAAACTCTCATATGGTTGTTGGTCTACTAACACTCCGTGCGTGAGAGTGTTGGTAAAAAGAAAAAAGAAAAAAGAGTCTTCGGCCCACTAGTTTTTTTTATGGCATTTCAGTGTGCTTGACATCAAGAGGTGATAATGTTGTGTAATTAATGAAAGGAACAGCTTTGTGGGAGAAAATTACCTGAGTGGAAAGGCTGAATCACAAAGCTAATATGATCATTGGGTAAAAAATTCCAGAATGATTTGGTGTAAGTAAGGCTAGGTCAGTCTGTATTTTTCCATAACAGTCTCTGTAAAAGATGTCACATGGTTTAATCATTAAGTACAGCATCTGCTCAATGATTTACTGGAACCTGGGGTAAATAATGTGCCCTGAAAATATCATTTGAGAATGTTTAATCCTCAAAAGAATTTAGATTCAATGTTGATTTTTTTTTTCTTTTTGTTTTTGAATGTTTACGTATATTATATATTTTTATATATTCTTAGTTGACACTTGCCTCCTGTAGTTCAAGTAATCGTACGTCGGTAATCAGAGCAAAGGAAAAAGTATATTTTTTCCTCAAAATCAGTGTAATTGATGCAAATTAAAACATTGTTTAAGTTTAATGATGAGAAAAGGATGTTTGTAAAAAAGGAGCTGAAGTGAAATGTCAAATGTAAAACTAGCCAAAGCAATAATAATAGACACAGCTATCTTTACCCAAAGCCCCGTGGTCACACTGAGAAAAGTGACAATTAACATTTATAGCAAGTATTACATATCAGTCTTGTCAAATGGGATGTTTACACTGTGCTGATGCCTCTTGCCGCGCAGGCAGCTAACAATGCTGCTGCACCCAGGGTGTGAAGCTTTTTTAATACAGTCAAGCAATATGATTATTTTTTCCATTGCATCAGCTCATGTGCGGCTCTTGTGGCCAAGTTTGTAAACATCACTAATTTTCATCCCTCTCACTGCTCTCCCCCCTTTCTCTCCCTCTTTCTCTCTCCTCCCTCTCGGTCTGAGTAGGTTCACATGGGCACACACATGTGGAACAGCGCTCCCGCCAGACGGGGCCGCAGGCTCTCTGTGGATGGTCCAATGGCCTTCCTGGGCACAAACCCGGTCAAGTTTCCTGAGATCTTCCAGAAAGACATGGCATCCAGGGCAAGCAACGGCGACCCGACAAGTTTCTGGAACCAGTACGCTGCAGCCTTCTCCAACGGCCTGGCAATGAAGACGAATGAAATCTCCGTCATCCAGAATGGAGGCATCCCACCCATGTCAGGCGGTGTGGGAAACGGGGGTACCTCGCCCATCGGAGGCCTCACCGGCAGCCTGGACAAGCTGCACAGCACCGAGCCCAGCGCTGCTCTGGCCGGTCTGGAGAAAATGGCCAACACAGAGAACGGGGCCCACTTCCGGTTCACACGCTTCATGGAGGACAATAAAGAAATCGTCACCAATTAAAGCGTATGTCCTTATGTTAGGCAAAGACACGTGAAAATGCCTAAAGGCATGCTGTACAAGTAGACACACACAGAAGAAGAAGAAGAAGAAGAAGAGAAAGGAAGAGAACAAGACAAGTTTAAACTGAACTGCTTTGCTTGCCATTGAATCTTTACGAATATGAGTGTGAAGACAAGTTGCGTTTTTGTACAATGTACATGTTATAGTTTTAAGGAGCTTATTTATTAGTGATTATAATCTTGCTTGAAAACAAGTGGAAGCATTAACAGTTAGGTTTTGTTTATTTTAAAGCCAGAATGGGTATATTTGGGTGCTTTAAAAATGTGCTTTTGAGACTTAGAAAATCTGGTTAGATAACCTTACCTTGGCATTAAGTTATTTTCTGTCTGTAGTAGCTATAACCTAACTGTCTATGTTCATGTGATGCATTAGCCTCTGTAATAAGCAAACAGACTTGCTGTAAATAATGTACACTGATCTTCTGTAGATGGTCTAACATCTGTGTATTCCCTTCTCCCCTCATCCAGATAAAACAATGACATTTAAGCAAGGGACAAATTGATGTAGACGTTCCTTTCTTTCCAGTTGTTATTTACCTTTATATTATTTAAAGAAGACAGAACTTCGAAGTTTGCTACTTTTCAAGACTTTCTTTAGTGTTAACTTGTTCTGTTGTTACAGTCTGTGTATTGTACTTTGTTTATGTTTACTTCTGTATTTTATCGGTCGTTTCTTCCTTTTTTTTATTTAGCTGTCGTTGAGAGCAAGACGGCTACTCGGAGGGGAGCGTTGCATCTGGTTTATTCCCCTTTTTTGTGGAACAGAGGCAGTCGACATAATGAGAAAGCTTCTCCTTTCGTTTCTCAGCTGGATTTCCATGTTGCTGCTATGTCCCAGCATCTTCACTGACATCAAGTGCAAAGTTGTGTGTTGAAGCTTCTGTGAATAGGTTCAGATGTGGAAATACAAACTCCCTCGCAGAGAAAATGTACATATTGCCCACATGAGAAGTCCATTATGACCAGGGGACAAAATAATAGTGTTTTTATAAATATAAATATATATTGGGTTTGACAACCTTCGGACTGTTACATGCACTTTCTTGGAAAGTTGGAAGATCTTTATGGGTCCAGTTTCTCTACACTTTAATACCTACTAACAACTAAGATACTGTAATTCTTTACTCTAATAATCAAATACATCAGTTTTCCAAAAGAAATGTGTGTTTGTGTCCTTTTTATTCCCTAAATTAAAAAAAAAAATAGCAATCACTTATAAATACATTGACAGCTGTTTTAAGACACTTTACATTAATTTATGCTTATGTTTTTAAGAGGAACTTTATTTTTACTAAATCAAGCAGTGAGATTTTTAGAAGTGTTCTTATCTGGTGTAAAACTATTTCAATTTTAGCTTCGTCATTTCTGTTCCTGGAAAAAAACTTAAAGCTTAAAACAACTTTAAGCAATTTGATTCCAGGCTTCTTGTTTGTTTTTTGTTGTTTTTATTTAGCGGGTACTTATTCATTCTGATTTGAAACAAAGTATCAGATTAGACACAAATAATTTTGGCAAGTCATTTTTTTATCTGCAGTACGTCGCTTTTTATGTGTTTTGCTAGTTTTATTTTCAATCTTGAAACACGGCTTGATAAAAAAATGAATAATAAAAAGCTACGGTCTAATGATTCGATTTTTTTTTTTTTATTCCCACAACGAGCGCGCGCGTAAGGATAAAGATGCTGACGGCCTTAAAGACGTTTTCTTCTCTGTGTATTTTTCTTTATTTTTTCTCCTTTTTTTTCTTAAACCATACAGGGAAAAAATCAGCCTTTTTTTTATTTCAACAGCTGCATTTCATTTAACACATCCTGCTGTACAGGGTCTGCTCGTTTTTTGTCCGGTATCGTCTGCGCTCTTCCCTCCTCTCCGCGAAGCCCCAAACGCCCAATATTTACGTTTTAGATTTCAAGACGTCGAAGCTAAATGATCCTTGGCCGCGGTGCCTGTTTTCTTTTGAACGGTCACATCTGTTCCTTAAGCCGTGTTTGCGCGCCGCGTCGGCTTCCTGAGAGATTCCTTCAGAGACTAAAAGAAAAACTGATATACATCCCTGCCCAATTATAACAAATAAGCGCATTGTTATTATTATTATTATTATTATTATTATTATTATTTTTATTTTGTATTTATTTTTTTTATTAATATTATTATAATGCATAATGAGAAAATATTCTAGAAAAAGAAATGTGTATTTCTAACATATTCCCCTCACAATTGTTGTAATTATTTTTGAGGATTAGATAAAGATGTTCTGAATATGGAATATTCCAGATAATTGCAGGAGGCCTGGTGATGTGGACTCACAGGTGGAGAACGGGAGCATCCTGCTGGTATATTTGCATGCTTTATCTCTGTGTGAGTCTGTCCACCACGGTGCATGGAGCCTTGGCTCCTGCCTCTCATTTCCCTGCTTACGTATCGATTGAGCTGTGCAGTATTACAGAAACACTTGAATCTCAGGTGGCAGGAATGTGTACAATTGATCTCTTCCACTGTGGCTCCCAGCAGTGGCTTTTTTTTTTCTTTTTTTTTTTTTTGCTCGACACAACACACAGCACCACAGGAAGAGCCAGGGCGAACACACTGAAACACAATCGCTGCAGACTGAGAGGGGCTGTCCCAGTCTGCCCTGCTCTCTGTCACAGTTTGGTGTACGGCTGGGAGTCTGGGGCACTGCTTTGCTGCCAGGCTCAAACTTTGGCAGCGCGGAAAAGAAATGTTTCATGTTAAAAGCACACGGGCAAAGGTATACTGTATGTATAAAAAGAAAGGCTTTTCAGCATCTCGTCTAATGTTCTGTTTTTCCTTTTTCTATCTAAAGGGCCTGGTGTCCTTCTGCTGTCTCTGAAAAAGGTGGAAATCATCCCAGAAACACAACACCCCTCAGCTGTAAGCCACTCCTGTCCTCCTGCTGTACACTTGAAGGTTCATTAAAGGATCTGTTAAGTAATGGTTGTGTGCACAGCTGCCACACAGCAAAAAATCAAATAATTTGTCTCCAGTGTGTGTCCACTGTAGTTAGAAAGACTTTAGTGAACCTAGAATTTTACTTAAAAGATAGAAATGTTAACGAGGAACTCCTAATGTTAAAGAAAAAAAAGTTTTTATTATTCATTGTGTGTAAGGCAAGTAAATGTATGGTTACAGATAATTTGGTGTTGGATTTGAAAAAGGATTTATGTCCAAAATAAGTAGCCAAGGTTGGCCATGTGTTGTATTAAATCCAGTCTATCAGAAGAAGAACAAGGAAAAATAAACAAGAACAAAAAGCAGCAAACAAGTCGGTCCTGACTCTTAATGTCAGCCTTTAGTGAAATCTGTTTGATATCCTCCATGTGTCTGTGTGCAGGTCGGGCTGAGATGAAGCTGCACAGAGGTGATCCCGGGAAAGCCGAGGCCCCCCCTCCCACACTCACCGCCTTGTGCTGTCAGGCTTCCTGAGTCGATACAAACCGTAGCCTGGGGCCCATCCTGGACTCCCCACTGAGGTTCTGGCCTAATGCAGGAAGATCAAAGAGCCGCGGAGAACAATGGTGACCCGGGCCTAGTGGGCTTTCTCTGGGTGAGTCTGCACACCTGCCTACACGGTCAGTCACACTCAGGTGAAGGAGCTTCTCACCAGTGGATATCTCTGTCCCAAAAACACGCTAATGGTGGCTTACAAGTGTTTGTTTAGAAAAAGGAACATATGTCCCTAACGGCTTTCCTCTCTTGGATTTGCCTCTCACTGTTTTATGCTTTTATCAGCTAATGTTAACTTTAGGTCTCCCGCTCTCTTTCATATGGCCTGAAATGGCATCTTTTATAAGTTTGTAAAACTCTAATTTGTGTTGTGTTGCTTTTATCTTCCTGTGGTTGTCATCATGCTTCCTGTGGAAAATGAGAGCTGTCTGCAGCGTGTACACAGCTGCTTGGAACACAAACCTCTTCATTTTTGGTGCAAACAAGGAGCAGGATTTTCAGGCCTGCAGGCTCTCCCAATTATCACACAAGAGCAGTCCAACTCCTTTAAGAAATATGCCCAACTTTTCCTTCCGCTGCTGCCTGTTCAAGCTGTCAGCAAGTCTGTCTTGATCTCATTACTAAGATGGCCATCTCAGTCCTTTTTTGCTTTATATTAAAGTTTTAGGATTTGGATGTTTTATTTTTATAGCAAAGCTATGTGGAGACTTTCCAAATGTCAGGTTCATTTATTGTACAGTTCATTTGCTTCTTACCTTTTGTGTGGTGAGCACAGGCCCATATTGCATTTCATGACCTATTGTGTCAAAAGGAGTCCTCAGACAAACAGGTGGGAGTCCTAACGGGAGCTCCTCGTAGACCGGACTCGCTAAACTCCAGGCTCCCGGGGCCATTCTGTAATAAGCCACCCATGCTTGCAGAACGGCCTCAGTGCTCGGTTTTCCTCCGCGTCAGATGGGAATCTATGGGGATGCTAATGAACATACAGTGAGGGTTTGTTTCACACACAGTGCTCCCGCTATCTGCATCTCCCAGTTTATCATCACCACTGAAATTGCAAGACCATTTTGCTGGGCTTTTACTAAAGGGGAGACATTTAGCCCATTGTGATGCTAATTCTTTAAAATTTGGAGAGCGGGGTTTGTTCTTTCAGGTCAGGGTGAGTTGATGTGACTGGGCCTTTTGACGGAGTACAAGCACCTTTTTTGTTGCCACAGACAAACCTGCTGTCACGGGTTGTCCTCGCTGCCCCTAAAGGCAAATTTAATTTAATGTGCATTTCCATTTTAAGATGAATCACATGTTGCCTTGTTTTGTACAGTAGAATGGAGACAGATCGTCTTTCTTTGGTTTTAAAGAACAGCTTCGAGATTAAGTAGGCTGATTGTGGCGCTTTCACCGTCAGAATTACGGCGGGTAACCTTAGACAGGCCTGTCTGCTCTGGGGCTTAAACACACACACACAGTTCGGGGACGCTCTCTGTTAATGTCATTGCAGATTCAGTTTCCCCATCACAATCGCACCTCCAAATCCCACAACCTCTGACACATCTTCTTATTCTTTCTCACAGTGTCAAAGCATGCTAGTGAGATGGGGAGATATTCTACAGCTTGCAGAAAGAGATATTGATATTGAGATGTCAAGATGGAACGTCAAAGCGACTACAAGGAAGCCCCTCAGCGGCCTGTCAGGTGCGTTTGATTCCATAGGTGGACCGGGAGAGATGTCTTGAGTTTATTGAATGTGTCATTTTTGGCCTGGGAGTGAAAAGGGGCACCTGTGTGCTGCTGTAAGACCACCGCCCGCATTACCCATGACAGCTGATGTGCAGGGACAACCCTTCAAGCACTTCTTTTTTTTCCTTTTTTTTTCTTTCCTTTTGAAGGCCGTCCATCACCTTCTGTTTACATTATTACATTATTCATAAGAGAAACAGCTGAGAGGATATTTACCTCGTCAATTTCCTCATAAAAGCCTCCTCGAGCAGTAAAAAAGTCACCCCGGGTTACTGCTGGAAAAACATAGCTATTTTCGGGGCAGATTCAGCGCCCTGCCGGTCCCACACACTGAAGCCTGTTGTAGTTGTGGTTACTGACCACCCACATCAGCATTAGATCAAAGCAAGACCTGCTACAGTGGGCTGAATATTCAGGGACATTATTGCTGTGTGACAGGTTCTCTCCCTCGGCCGGTGGCGGTGGGAAAACGGGGAAAGTCTGATAAAGACTATGCTTTATTATGCTGTCATTCATGGGATTTTGCACTTCTGCACTGTATATCTACTGGAGCAGGATCAGAGATATGCCACCCACCCCTTTTAAGAAATTCTCATTGGACATCATGCTGCAGACAAAAAGAGAGTGGTTTCCTCTGTGAAATGTGTAATCAAAGGGAAGATAAGAGATGCATTAGGTCATGGCAGTTCCCACAATGTCCTGTTTGACATGGCGATGTGTGTCCGTGTATGTGTGCGATTGGGTTTAAAATTCTGCAGCACCAACCAGCGTTTAAAGCCCACTGCTATAAAGCATCATCTCTCCTATGCAAAATACCGGCTGAATTACTAAGTATCTAAGTATTATTCCACAGCTCTGAGTGGGAATTCTAGCAAACATGCCTACCTCATGCTCAGTTAAGTCTGCACCACCTGTGATTAATAAGAAATATCCCAGATCCAGCAGGT